CCACTGCCTTAACCAGGAATTGAACTCACCTTCTTTGGGTCTGTCACTGGATCTAACCAACGCCTTTATCCACTGTGCCATATGTCCTTGAAATTCCAACCACCTGAAGAAGGCCGGAGCGTACAACGGCCGAAACGTTGTGACAAATATGGCGACAAAGATGAGGACAATAATCCGACTAATGTAAATACTGTACATAATACCTCATCTCAGAAATATAGACAAACTCTAATTTATACATATTTCCAATTTGATCCTTCTCCTATATATATATATATATATATATATATATATATATATATATATATACAAGTATATAATTGGTATATACGGAATGAATTCAATAACCAACAAAATATATATATATATATATATATATATATATATATATATATATATATATATATATACATGTATTGTCAAATGCCCGGATATTGTAGCGTCTTGTCGAACGTAATTTCAACGAAGAAATAAATTGAATAACATATGTATTTTTTCTTTTCTCAATAATTTTGTAGTTTTTAAACTTAATAGTGATTAAATTAGGATTTTAAAATTGGCAGTTTTTAATTTTAATATTAAATTTTATCATATAATTTTATAATTATTGGTTAGTATAAATTATTTTTAATATTACCCGTATTTTAAAGATCTGAATAGCTATTATAACATGAGTTCGTTGTCAAGCTTTTGAATATTTCTATACTTCGTTTTTGATTGGTTATTCTAGCTTTTGTAACAGCGTTTCCCCCTAGTGTAGGATCGTTAATTAATCTGAAACTTTTAAAACTATTTATTTTATCTTCAACATCATCACTTGATAAGACACCGAGTGTGTTGAAACAAAATGGCTATTTTTATAGTGCTTTTATAATATACTTATGTTATATTTTTTTTAAAAATAATATATATATATATATATATATATATATATATATATATATGAAAATTTCTCCGATTTAATCGGTAGAGAAGACAATATTTATGAATAAAAATGACAATAGGAAAACTGGTAATTGCTGACGCGTTTCGTCCAATGTGGACTTTATCACAGCAAAAATAAAAAAAAAAAAATGAGGACAATAGCCCGACTAATGTAAATACTGTACATAACACCTCATCTCAGAAATATAGACAGTATAATTGAAGTATAAAAATCTATAAAAATATAGACAGTATAATTGTAATTATAATTGTAATTATAAATCTATAAAAATATAGACAGTATAATTGAAGTATAAAAATCTCATCTCATTTTTTTTTTTTTCGTATTTTGCTTTGATAAAGTCCACATTGGACGAAACGCGTCAGCAATTACCAGTTTTCCTATTGTCATTTTTATTCATAAATATATATATATATTAACTTTGTTTTATGCGAGTCAAATAGCCTCTGACAACAAGTCCAGTTCCACGTCGGAAGGCGGAAAGCTGGAGTTTCATAACCAACAAGATTCGTGAAAATAGAGCACGACGGCGGCCCAGGAGGTCGTCTTTCTATGGAAAGGAAAAACCCTGATTTTAAACCTACGCTGCCTTACGGTCCTATCCAAAGAGGGAAAGGCTATGGAAGTAAATCCAGACGGAAACCAGGAAGGAGGTTGGTTGTCAACACTGACATGTTTCCAGTAACTCCTGCAGCCGAGCTGTACCCAAATGTAATGCTCTCTATTCTTTTGAATCTTGTCGGTACTTCCGACAAGGTGCCATGTAGTCTGACCTCCGTGCGCCATGGTCTCGCCCTGCGCCCTGTAGAGGTCACTCCCTGTTGTGGTAGGATCCACCTAATTTGCATAGGGAGTACCGACCATATAAATATGGTTGGTACCGGGAAGACGGGGGTGGGGAATCAAGAGATTCAATCCAGAGACTCTGCCCGACTGTGACTAAGTCAACACATTCTCAAGGAACGGTCTTCCCAAGAATATACAAAAGACTATATGTAAATATTGTATACACTTTCTTGTTTCAATACATTTTGTTCTAAGTACATTGTGTGTTGTATTATTATTCCATGCATTAGTCAAGTTTCAACACTCCCGTTTGACAAAACTGGGCAATCCACTTATTACGCTAGATAAATAGATTCCTACTATGTACTCGTAGCAGAAAGGTTATAGGAACCGAATGTGGGAGTGTCGTGTCGAGTTCAAATTTAAACAGTGGCAACTGCATTCATTTTCACGCAATTACATTTTCATGATTTCATTTCTTCTCCTGACGTATTTAAAAGTTACTAGCAGAGATGACTGAGCTCACTAGTTTATAAAATCCGACGTGTTACGGTAATTACTGAAGCACCACCTAACATAGTGACGCTGAGTGTTATATCTCAAGAGTAGCGTCAACAGGGCGAGCATACACGAGTATATATATATATTGGTTTCAGTTAGCAATTCAAGCACGCGATTACATATAAAGGCAAACGAAGATATTCAATAGAATATTTATTTTCAAAAGTCTGTACACCTATACACTGTAAAGAAAAATATGTTAGTGTTTCAAGGTCTTCGGCCATCATATTCCAGATAATGACCTTAAACTAGTTATAGTGGCATCTGATATTTGGTCCCCTCGACGACAACCCAAACACAGTAATCAAGTTGATTCAATTCAGATTTAGGTTAAATTATGTAAAACATGTTAGCTAGTTCTTCTTGTGCCGTATAAGCCATGTCGTGTTATTAGACTCTCCTACTGGAAAACGTTCACCTACTTTCTCATTCTTTAAAAGCAAATCTAGAGTCACATTGTAGGTACCTACATTGGCCTTAAATCCTTATTGGAGCAAGGACCTATGAGGCTATCCTATTTGAAAGAATGAGTACATCAACGATCGTATATCCATGTGATTGGCGCAGGTCGACCAATTATCTGCCCTGTTTAGGTCAAGAGACTTACTATCTCTAAAAATTTGAGGTTGTCACTGTCATGTTCAAGATTTTTTTCACTTGTTTTTTTTCCAAATGAATGATGTCATATTAATGCTCGTTACTCGTCTGTAAGAAGAGAAGAGTAAACACCGGTGGTGCATATTACGTAACATTAAGTTAATCTTCTTCCATTTGTAGGGCGCTAAAATATGTGTTCTCAAATACCTGGCTCTCCATCAAAATACATTTTTATGGCACATTTTTTCTCGATCAAAACATCTAACCCAAATTACACAGCACCCTTTCCAATTTTTGTTTGACTTAGCATGAAGATATAAATTTACTTTCTTCACTTAAAAAAAAAAAACAATTAAAATATCTAAAAGGCTTTTCCATCAAAGGACAGCAATCGACGAACAATAACATACGTTTCAAGCTGCTGCTGATTGTATTAAAATTCTTTGAAGTATAATGACATTGCAATCCAAATGCTTTCTAAAGCCATAGCATAGGAACACATGTTCATTTCAAACTTCGGGATGTTAACACAAACGCTACACTCTATGTCTCTTAATTTTCTAACTTTTTATTCTTGAAATAGACCAATGGTAGGTCGAAAGTCCTTGGAAGATAAACACACAATTTCAACAAGTTCTTTTACAAGATGTACCAATGGCTTATCCAACATTTGGAGAAACACACCAATTTATATCGCCTGTCCGTTCTAGTTAATAGAACATGTTTAAAAGATGGTTTACTGCCTATATATAAAATATTATATATATATATATATATATATATATATATATATATATATATATATATATGTGTGTGTGTGTGTGTGTGTGTTATTTTAATCGGTATGTGCTTTGGCATCTCGTGGCGGTTATGAATTTCGCCGTTGGCCTATGTTTGATATGTTTCTTTTGTTGTTGCCGACGGTGGTTATTTCATAGCATTCTCTCTCCTCTGCGTGGTTGTGCATTCGTTTTATTTATCTCTTTTATTACTTCTAACTGATGTAGACAAAAATCGATCAGACGAGATCGATATCTCTAAGGGAGCAGGGGAAACTACCGAGTAAAAACTAGGTGGGATAAATAAGTGAATGAAGGAAGCAATAAACATATAATAATACAAAGAAATAAATAAGAAAGAGAGGGAAGAAGCAAGAATGTGTAACAAAAAGATATACAGATCCATGAGAGAGGGAGAGAGAGAGAGAGAGAGAGAGAGAGAGAGAGAAAGTGAATAGTAAGGGAGAGAAAAGCCTTAAGAAAATTTAAACGGAAAATAAACGACAAAAAATATTTAAAAAAAATGGCAGCAAGGACAGAAGGAAAAAAGAGACAGGAGAAAGAGATAAAAGAAAAAAGAGAAAGGAAAATAGATCAAAGGAAAAAGAGGAAGAAATAAAAAAGAAAAGAGTAAGACAAAGAGATAAAAGGAAAAAGAGGAAGAAATAAAAGGGAAAAGTGTAAAACAAAGAGATAAAAGAAGAAGAGAAAGAAAAAAGAGATAAAAGAAGAAGAGAAAAGAAAAGAGATTTAATGAAACATGAAATGTAAAGAAACGAAGGAAAAAGAGGAAGAAATAAAAGAGAAAAGAGTAAAAAAAAGAGATAGAAGAAAAGAGAAAGGAAAAGAGATAAAAGTAAAAAGAAATAAGAAAAAGAGATAAAAGAAAAATGAGAAAGAAAAAGCGAAAGTCAAATGTGACAGAAAAGTGAGAAAGGAAAAGAAATAAAGTGAAAGAAAAAATAGCGAAAATAAAAGAATGAATCAAAGTATAAAACAGAACATTAATAAAATCGAAAAAATAAAGAAGAATTGTGATGAAGAAACATCAAAATAGGAAACAAAAACAGGAATATAAAGTAAACAACACAAAGATTTCGAAAGGGATTGAAAAAATAGAAAAGGAAAAAAATGAAAGAAATGGTAAGTTAAAGAAAGAACATTTTAAGCCAAGAAAGATTAATTTGAAGAAAGGAAAAATAAGGAATTTCGAAAAGTACAATTTGAAGAAAGAAAGAATAATTTAGAGTAAATTATAAAATATATAATAATTTAATGAATTAAATAAAATGGAATAATTTAAATCAGTTTGAAAGACAAGATGAGATATTTCAAGAAACAAAGAACGTACAATGAAAGGAAACAAAGAACGAACAATGTAAAGAAACGAAGAACGAACAATGTAAAGAAACGAAGAACGAACAATGAAAGGAAACAAAGAACGAACAATGTAAAGAAACAAAGAACGAACAGTGAAAGGAAACAAAGAACGAACAATGAAAGGAAACAAATAACGAACAATGTAAAGAAACAAAGAAAGAAAAATGAAAGGAAACAAAGAACGAACAATGTAAAGAAACGAAGAACGAACAAGAAAAAAGAACAATGATCAAACAAGGAAAATAAACAAAGAACGAACAAGGAAAGGAAACAACGTATGGACAATGCGAGGAATGAAAGAACGAACAATGCAAGGAAACAAAAAAAGAACAACACAAAGAAACAGACTGGAGCAATAAAAAGAAACCAAACAAACAAAGAACAACTCGAAAGAACAAAAAAGAAACAACGCCAAAAATAAAGAGAGAACAATGCAGAAATAGAAATAAAGAAAGAAAAGAAAAAAGAAACAAAGGACAACGTAGAGAAACAAGAGAACAATGTAAAGAAACAAAGAAAGAAAAACGCAAGTAAACAAAGAAGGAATAATGCAGTGAATCAAAGAAAGAAACATTTAAATTGAGAAAGAAATAACAATTTAAAGAAACAAAAGGACGTAACAAAGAAACCTGATCGCATGAATTTGATTTTATTACCATTTCTCTGTTCTGATGTTATAGAGTGCCAAATGTTCAGATCGAAGAAAACAAAAGACAATACGCAATATGAAAAGGGAAGTATTCAGAAAAAAGTACCAAATCAAAAAAAAAAATGATAAACTGACAAAGTAAAAAAAAAATAATACCGTGTTGATTTTTAATCTAAAGACTTTGGTTTGATATCATCAAAATAAACAGATGTATCGACATCGCATCTCAAGAATTCGTAGCTGTTTAAAAAATCATAATATGAACAGGGTGTGTTAGCGAGAATGGTGCGGATAGGGTAAGGCGAAAATAGAGAAAGAATTAGCAATACTTACTTCACTAAAAGCTTTCCAGTCAAACTAAGTCAATATATTCACACAATATATGACTTAACAAAAGAACAGTAGACAAGAAAAACTTAAGTAGTGAATTGCTACAGGTTATATATTCCTATTATTTACTTTGGTTTGTTTTAACATTGAACCTGTTTTTTTTTTGTTTGTTTTAATTTTTTTTTTTTTCAGGTAGAAGATTTTGCTTCTGCTTTTATTCGCTTTTTGTTCGTTCCGTTTTTATTTCTACTGATTTTGTCTTTCTTAAATCAAGTCTCCCATTCTGGTTACTATCTCCTGACGAGACTATGTTTTCCTGCAAGAAGGTACGCAAAAAGCAAATAGAGGAAAAAATGTTAGGCTTTGGAGAAAGAAATGAATCAAATAATGTTTTAAAGCAAAAGAGTTGGTGAATTAGTCTTTTTTTTTTTTACTTTATAAAGATATGGCAGGTGGCGCAGCTGATGAAAATACAAGCAAAATGGAAATGATTTACAAAGAAACAGAAAAGAAAAATGTAGTTTTAAAAATGTGAATCGTATTGCAAAAGCAAATACTGAGGGAAATGATGTTGAACAAGAGAAAGGTGAAAAAGAACAAAGAAAAAAGACTTATAGGAAAGAAAAAAATAACACAGCGACTAATATAAGATAGGAATTAAACTATCAAAACGGAAGACAAAAAGTTAGAGAGTATTGAGTTAAGAAAAAATGAAATGAAAATCATATAAAAAATTGTGAAGGCGAATGACAAGAAATAAGAAATAGAAAGCGGATGAATAGGAGAGATAAAAAGAAAAAAATACGAATACAAACTGAAGAAAAGAGTAAGAGTAGATAACAAAGTAGGTGTTGGGTCAAGAGAATCGGAGTAGGAGGAGAGAATGAAAAAAAAAGTAAAAAGGAGAAGTAGATTAAGAGAAAAAGAGATATGAATAATGTTGGTAATAAATAGGAAGGTAGTTAGAGGAGTGGGATAAAAGAAGGAGACTGTGAGGAGTGGGATGAAAGAAGGATACTGTGAGGAGTGGGATAAAAGAAGGAGACTGTGAGGAGTGGGATGAAAGAAGGAGACTGTGAGGAGTGGGATGAAAGAAGGATACTGTGAGGAGTGAGATGAAAGATGGAGAGTGTGAGGAGTGGGATGAAAGAAGGAGACTGTGAGGAGTGGGATGAAAGAAGGAGACTGTGAGGAGTGGGATGAAAGAAAGAGACTGTGAGGAGTGGGATGAAAGAAGGAGACTGTGAGGAGTGGGATGAAAGAAGGAGACTGTGAGGAGTGGGATGAAAGAAAGAGACTGTGAGGAGTGGGATGAAAGAAAGAGACTGTGAGGAATGGGATGAAAGAAGGAGGGGAGGAGTGGGATGAAAGAAAGAGACTGTGAGGAGTGGGATAAAAGAAGGAGACTGGGGGAGGAGTGGGATGAAAGAAAGAGGACTGTGGAGGAGTGGGATGAAAGAAGGAGACTGGGGAGGAGTGGGATGAAAGAAGGAGACCAGAGGAGTGGGATGAAAGAAAGAGACTGTGAGGAGTGGGATGAAAGAAGGAGACTGTGAGGAGTGGGATGAAAGAAAGAGACTGTGAGGAGTGGGATGAAAGAAGGAGACTGTGAGGAGTGGGATGAAAGAAAGAGACTGTGAGGAGTGGGATGAAAGAAGGAGACTGTGAGGAGTGGGATGAAAGAAGGAGACTGGGAGGAGGAGGGATGAAAGAAGGAGACTGTGAGGAGTGGGATGAAAGAAAGAGACTGTGAGGAGTGGGATGAAAGAAGGAGACTGTGAGGAGTGGGATGAAAGAAAGAGACTGGGATGAAAGAAGGAGGAGGGATGAAAGAAGGAGACTGTGAGAGGAGGGATGAAAGAAAGAGACTGTGGTGGAGTTGGAGGGATGAAAGAAGGAGAGAAGGAAGAGGAGGAGGGATGAAAGAAAGAGATCAGAGGAGGGGATGAAAGAAAGAGACTGTGAGGAGTGGGATGAAAGAAGGAGACTGTGAGGAGTGGGATGAAAGAAAGAGACTGTGAGGAGTGGGATGAAAGAAGGAGACTGTGAGGAGTGGGATGAAAGAAAGAGACTGTGAGGAGTGGGATGAAAGAAGGAGACTGTGAGGAGTGGGATGAAAGAAGGAGACTGTGAGGAGTGGGATGAAAGAAAGAGACTGTGAGGAGTGGGATGAAAGAAGGAGACTGTGAGGAGTGGGATGAAAGAAGGAGACTGTGAGGAGTGGGATGACAGAAGGAGACTGTGAAGAGTGGGATGAAAGAAGGAGACTGTGAGGAGCGAGACGAAAGAGGGTTTGATTGGTTGGTTGGTTGGTTGGTTGGTTGGTTGAATTTGTTTAGCGGCATATCAAACTCTATAGGATATTTAATGCCGAAGGTTATGTTTTTGTCCGTAATTTTATTTTGGTGGGGAGATAATAATAACTTTAGTGATACAAGTCTTACTTATTAACCCATAACAGAATGGGATTCATAATTTTCCCAAGGGTATTTCAGCGTTAGTGAACCTAACGAACTCAACTAGAATTGGAACTAGACATTCTGATTAATAATTCGGGGCCAGTAGGATGGAGTATAAGAGATGTGGGATAAAAGAAGAAAGAGAAGAGTGGTATTAAAGAAAGAAGATGAGAGTGATGAAAGAAAGGAGAAAATGAGTGGGATGGGAGAAAGGAAAAGAAGAGGAGTGGAGTGGGAAAAAAAAGTGGAGAGGTACGAAAGAAACGAGAAGAGGAGTATGAGTTGGAAGAAAGAATAGAAGTGGGGCGAAAGAAAGAAGAGGAGTGGGAGGAAAAAAGGAGTGGATGAAAAAATGGATGTTGTAGTATGATGAAAGAAAGAAGAGGACGAGTGCAAGGAAAAAAAAGAAAGGGACTGCAATAAAAGAAAGAAGAGGGAGAGTGCGATGAAAGAAAGAAGAAATGGACTGCAATAAAAGAAAGAAGAGGGGGAGTGCGATGAAAAAAAAGAAGAAAAGGACTGCAATGAAAGAAAGAAGAGGGGGAGTGCGCTGAAAGAAAGAAGAAAAAAACTGTAATGAAAGAAAGAAGAGGGGGAGTGCGATGAAAGAAAGAAGAAAAGGACTGCAATGAAAGAAAGAAGAGGGGGAATGTAATGAAAGAAAGAAGAAAATGAATGCAATGAAAGAAAGAAGAGGGGGAGTGCGATGAAAAAAAGAAGAAAAGGACTGCAATGAAAGAAAGAAGAGGGGGAATGTAATGAAAGAAAGAAGAAAATGAATAAAATGAAAGAAAGAAGAGGGGGAGTGCGATGAAAAAAAAGAAGAAAATGAATGCAAAGAAAGAAAGAAGAGGGGGGTGTAATGAAAGAAAGAAGAAAATGAATGCAATGAAAGAAAGAAGAGGGGGAGTGCGATGAAAGAAAGAAGAAAATGAATGCAATGAAAGAAAGAAGAGGGGGAGTGCGATGAAAAAAGAAGAAAAGGACTGCAATGAAAGAAAGAAGAGGGGGAATGTAATGAAAGAAAGAAGAAAATGAATGCAATGAAAGAAAGAAGAGGGGGGTGTAGTGAAAGAAAGAAGAAAAGGACTGCAATGAAAGAAAGAAGAGGGGGAGTGCGATGAAAGAAAGAAGAAAATGAATGCAATGAAAGAAAGAAGAGGGGGAATGTAATGAAAGAAAGAAGAAATGGACTGCAATGAAAGAAAGAAGAGGGGGAATGTAATGAAAGAAAGAAGAAAATGAATGCAATGAAAGATAGAAGAGGGGGAGTGCAACGAAAGAAAGAAGAAAATGAATGCAATGAAAGAAAGAAGAGGGGGAGTGCGATGAAAGAAAGAAGAAATGGACTGCAATGAAAGAAAGAAGAGGGGGAGTGCGATGAAAGAAAGAAGAAATGGACTGCAATGAAAGAAAGAAGAGGGGGAGTGCGATGAAAGAAAGAAGAAAAGGACTGCAATGAAAGAAAGAAGAGGGGGAGTGCGATGAAAGAAAGAAGAAAAGGACTGCAATGAAAGAAAGAAGAGGGGGAATGTAATGAAAGAAAGAAGAAAATGAATGCAATGAAAGAAAGAAGAGGGGGAGTGCCATGAAAGAAAGAAGAAATGGACTGCAATGAAAGAAAGAAGAGGGGAGGCGATGAAATAAAGAAGAAAAGGACTGCAATGAAAGAAAGAAGAGGGGAGCGATGAAAGAAAGAAGAAAAAGGAGTGCAATGAAAAAAGAAGAGGGGGGTGATGATGAAAGAAAGAAGAAAAGGACTGCAATGAAAGAAAGAAGAGGGGGAATGTAATGAAAGAAAGGAGAAAATGAATGCAATGAAAGAAAGAAGAGGGGGAGTGCGATGAAAGAAAGAAGAAATGGACTGCAATGAAAGAAAGTAGAAAGGGAGTGCGATGAAAGAAAGAAAAAAAGGACTGCAATGAAAGAAAGAAGAGGGGGAGTGCGATGAAAGAAAGAAGAAAAGGACTGCAATGAAACAAAGAAGAGGGGGAGTGCGATGAAAGAAAGAAGAAAAGGACTGCAATGAAAGAAAGTAGAAAGGGAGTGCAATGAAAGAAAGAAGAGGGGGAAAAGGATGAAAGAAAGAAGAAAATGAATGCAATGAAAGAAAGAAGAGGGGGAATGTAATGAAAGAAAGAAGAAATGGACTGCAATGAAAGAAAGAAGAGGGGGAAATGTAATGAAAAGAAAGAAGAAAATGAATGCAATGAAAGATAGAAGAGGGGAGGCAACGAAAGAAAGAAGAAAAATGAATGCAATGAAAGAAAGAAGTAATGGACTGCAATGAAAGAAAGAAGAGGGGAGTGCGATGAAAGAAAGAAGAAATGGACTGCAATGAAAGAAAAAGAGGGGGGAGCGATGAAAGAAAGAAGAAAAAGGACTGCAATGAAAGAAAGAAGAGGGGGAGGCGATGAAAGAAAGAAGAAAAGGACTGCAATGAAAGAAAGAAGAGGGGAATGTAATGAAAGAAAGAAGAAAATGAATGCAATGAAAGAAAGAAGAGGGGAGCCATGAAAGAAAGAAGAAAAGGACTGCAATGAAAGAAAGAAGAGGGGAGGCGATGAAAAGAAAGAAGAAAAGGACTGCAATGAAAGAAAGAAGAGGGGAGGCGATGAAAGAAAGAAGAAAAGGAGTGCAATGAAAGAAAGAAGAGGGGGGTGATGAAAGAAAGAAGAAAAGGACTGCAATGAAAGAAAGAAGAGGGGAATGTAATGAAAGAAAGGAGAAATGAATGCAATGAAAGAAAGAAGGGGGGGGCGATGAAAAGAAAGAAGAAATGGACTGCAATGAAAGAAAGTAGAAAGGGGAGCGATGAAAGAAAGAAGAAAAGGACTGCAATGAAAGAAAGAAGAGGGGGAGTGCGATGAAAGAAAGAAGAAAAGGACTGCAATGAAACAAAGAAGAGGGGGAGTGCGATGAAAGAAAGAAGAAAAGGACTGCAATGAAAGAAAGAAGAGGGAGAATGTAATGAAAGAAAGAAGAAAATGAATGCAATGAAAGAAAGAAGAGGGGGAGTGCGATGAAAGAAAGAAGAAATGGACTGCAATGAAAGAAAGAAGAGGGGGAGTGCGATGAAAGAAAGAAGAAATGGACTGCAATGAAAGAAAGAAGAGGGGGAGTGCGATGAAAGAAAGAAGAAAAGGACTGCAATGAAAGAAAGAAGAGGGGGAGTGCGATGAAAGAAAGAAGAAAAGGACTGCAATGAAAGAAAGAAGAGGGGGAATGTAATGAAAGAAAGAAGAAAATGAATGCAATGAAAGAAAGAAGAGGGGGAGTGCGATGAAAGAAAGAAGAAATAGACTGCAATGAAAGAAAGAAGAGGGGGGGTGCGATGAAAGAAAGAAGAAATGGACTGCAATGAAAGAAAGAAGAGGGGAGGAGGATGAAAGAAAGAAGAAAAGGACTGCAATGAAAGAAAGAAGAGGGGGGAGTGATGAAAGAAAGAAGAAAAGGAGTGCAATGAAAGAAAGAAGAGGGGAGGGGATGAAAGAAAGAAGAAAAGGACTGCAATGAAAGAAAGAAGAGGGGAATGTAATGAAAGAAAGGAGAAAATGAATGCAATGAAAGAAAGAAGAGGGGGAGTGCGATGAAAGAAAGAAGAAAAGGACTGCAATGAAAGAAAGAAGAGGGGGAGTGCGATGAAAGAAAGAAGAAAAGGACTGCAATGAAAGAAAGAAGAGGGGGAGTGCGATGAAAGAAAGAAGAAAAGGAGTGCAATGAAAGAAAGAAGAGGGGGAGTGTGATGAAAGAAAGAAGAAAAGGACTGCAATGAAAGAAAGAAGAGGGGAATGTAATGAAAGAAAGGAGAAAATGAATGCAATGAAAGAAAGAAGAGGGGGGGCGATGAAAGAAAGAAGAAAAGGACTGCAATGAAAGAAAGAAGAGGGGGAAAGGATGAAAGAAAGGAGAAAAGGACTGCAATGAAAGAAAGAAGAGGGGGAGGCGATGAAAGAAAGAAGAAAAGGAGTGCAATGAAAGAAAGAAGAGGGGAGGTGGATGAAAGAAAGAAGAAAAGGACTGCAATGAAAGAAAGAAGAGGGGGAACAATGAAAGAAAGGAGAAAAAATGAATGCAATGAAAGAAAGAAGAGGGGAGGCAGATGAAAGAAAGAAGAAAAGGACTGCAATGAAAGAAAGAAGAGGGGGAGTGCAATGAAAGAAAGAAGAAAAGGACTGCAATGAAAGAAAGAAGAGGGGGAGTGCGATGAAAGAAAGAAGAAAAGGAGTGCAATGAAAGAAAGAAGAGGGGGAGTGTGATGAAAGAAAGAAGAAAAGGACTGCAATGAAAGAAAGAAGAGGGGGAATGTAATGAAAGAAAGGAGAAAATGAATGCAATGAAAGAAAGAAGAGGGGGAGTGCGATGAAAGAAAGAAGAAATGGACTGCAATGAAAGAAAGTAGAAAGGGAGCGATGAAAGAAAGAAGAAAAGGACTGCAATGAAAGAAAGAAGAGGGGAGGCGATGAAAGAAAGAAGAAAAGGACTGCAATGAAACAAAGAAGAGGGGGAGGGATGAAAGAAAGAAGAAAAGGACTGCAATGAAAGAAAGAAGAGGGAGAATGTAATGAAAAGAAAGAAGAAAAATGAATGCAATGAAAGAAAGAAGAGGGGAGGCGATGAAAGAAAGAAGAAATGGACTGCAATGAAAGAAAGAAGAGGGGAGGTGATGAAAGAAAGAAGAAATGGACTGCAATGAAAGAAAGAAGAGGGGAGGCGATGAAAGAAAGAAGAAAAGGACTGCAATGAAAGAAAGAAGAGGGGGAGGATGAAAGAAAGAAGAAAAGGACTGCAATGAAAGAAAGAAGAGGGGAATGTAATGAAAGAAAGAAGAAAATGAATGCAATGAAAGAAAGAAGAGGGGGGAGGCGATGAAAGAAAGAAGAAATAGACTGCAATGAAAGAAAGAAGAGGGGGGGGTGCGATGAAAGAAAGAAGAAATGGACTGCAATGAAAGAAAGAAGAGGGGGAGGCGATGAAAGAAAGAAGAAAAGGAGTGCAATGAAAGAAAGAAGAGGGGGGGATGAAAGAAAGAAGAAAAGGAGTGCAATGAAAAGAAAGAAGAGGGGAGGTGATGAAAGAAAGAAGAAAAAGGACTGCAATGAAAGAAAGAAGAGGGAAATGTAATGAAAGAAAGGAGAAATGAATGCAATGAAAGAAAGAAGAGGGGAGGCGATGAAAGAAAGAAGAAAAGGACTGCAATGAAAGAAAGAAGAGGGGAGACGATGAAAGAAAAGAAGAAAAGGACTGCAATGAAACAAAGAAGAGGGGGAGGCGATGAAAGAAAGAAGAAAAGGACTGCAATGAAACAAAGAAGAGGGGGGAGGATGAAAGAAAGAAGAAAAGGACTGCAATGAAAGAAAGAAGAGGGGGAATGTAATGAAAGAAAAGAAGAAAATGAATGCAATGAAAGAAAGAAGAGGGTGAGTGCCAATGAAAGAAAGAAGAAATGGACTGCAAATGAAAGAAAGTAGAGGGGGGAGGGTGATGAAAGAAAGAAGACAAGGAGTGCAATGAAAGAAAGAAGAGGGGAGAGCGATGAAAGAAAGAAGAAAAGGACTGCAATGAAAGAAAGAAGAGGGGGAGTGCGATGAAAGAAAGAAGAAAAGTACTGCAATGAAAGAAAGAAGAGGGGGAATGTAATGAAAGAAAGAAGAAAATGAATGCAATGAAAGAAAGAAGAGGGGGAGTGCGATGAAAGAAAGAAGAAAAGGACTGCAATGAAAGAAAGAAGAGGGGGAGTGCGATGAAAGAAAGAAGAAAAGGACTGCAATGAAAGAAAGAAAAGGGGGGAATGTAATGAAAGAAAGAAGAAAATGAATGCAATGAAAGAAACAAGAGGGGGAGGATGAAAGAAAGAAGAAAAGGACTGCAATGAAAGAAAGAAGAGGGGAGGATGAAAGAAAGAAGAAAATGAATGCAATGAAAGAAAGAAGAGGGGAGCGATGAAAGAAAGAAGAAATGGACTGCAATGAAAGAAAGAAAGGGGGAGGCGATGAAAGAAAGAAGAAAAGGACTGCAATGAAAGAAAAAGAGGGGAGGCGATGAAAGAAAGAAGAAAAGGACTGCAATGAAAGAAACAAGAGGGGAGTGCGATGAAAGAAAGAAGAAATGGACTGCAATGAAAGAAAGAAGAGGGGAATGTAATGAAAGAAAGAAGAAAATGAATGCAATGAAAGAAAAAGAGGGGGAGGTGATGAAAGAAAGAAGAAATGGACTGCAAATGAAAGAAAGAAGAGGGGATGATGAAAGAAAGAAGAAATGGACTGCAATGAAAGAAAGAAGAGAGGGAGGATGAAAGAAAGAAGAAAAGGACTGCAATGAAAGAAAGAAGAGGGGGAGAGCGATGAAAGAAAGAAGAAAAGGACTGCAATGAAAGAAAGAAGAGGGGGAGGCGATGAAAGAAAGAAGAAAATGAATGCAATGAAAGAAACAAGAGGGGGGAGGGATGAAAGAAAGAAGAAAAGGACTGCAAATGAAAGAAAGAAGAGGGGAAAAGGATGAAAGAAAGAAGAAAATGAATGCAATGAAAGAAAGAAGAGGGGGAGGCGATGAAAGAAAGAAGAAAAGGACTGCAATGAAAGAAAGAAGAGGGGAGCGATGAAAGAAAGAAGAAATGGACTGCAATGAAAGAAAGAAGAGGGGAATGTAATAAAAGAAAGAAGAAAAATGAATGCAATGAAAGAAAGAAGAGGGGAGGCGATGAAAGAAAAGAAGAAATGGACTGCAATGAAAGAAAGAAGAGGGGGGTGCGATGAAAGAAAGAAGAAATGGACTGCAATTAAAGAAAGAAGAGGGGAGGATGAAAGAAAGAAGAAAAGGACTGCAATGAAAGAAAGAAGAGGGGGAGGCAACGAAAGAAAGAAGAAAAATGAATGCAATGAAAGAAAGAAGAGGGGAGGGATGAAAGAAAGAAGAAAAGGACTGCAATGAAAGAAAGAAGAGGGGGAATGTAATGAAAGAAAGAAGAAAAGGAGTGCAATGAAAGAAAGAAGAGGGGGAGTGCGATGAAAGAAAGAAGAAATGGACTGCAATGAAAGAAAGAAGAGGGGGGTGCGATGAAAGAAAGAAGAAATGGACTGCAATGAAAGAAAGAAGAGGGCGAGTGCGATGAAAGAAAGAAGAAAAGGACTGCAATGAAAGAATGAAGAGGGGGAGTGCGATGAAAGAAAGAAGAAAAGGACTGCAATGAAAGAAAGAAGAGGGGGAGTGCGATAAAAGAAAGAAGAAAAGGACTGCAATGAAAGAAAGAAGAGGGGGAATGTAATGAAAGAAAGAAGAAAAGGACTGCAATGAAAGAAAGAAGACGTCAAAATGCCATGAAAGAAACTAGTAGTTGAAAGGACACTCCAGCGTCGTCTCACCGAGACAGCAAAACACGAGAAGCTACAGTCTACTGATAGGAGGATTCCATAGTTCCTTCTGTACAGGGAACTGACCACTGGCAAGAGGGTGCTAGGCCGACTTCATCTTCGCTTCAACGACGTCTGCAAAAGGACATGAGGACCATGGACATGGACAGGTGGGAAGATGACGTCAACAATCGCTCACGCAGCAGGTGATTTACACCGTGGGCTGGTTGCTAGGGGAGAAGAAAGGCTTGCCGCCGGGTAGAAAAAAAGAAAGTACACGGCATCGTGGCTGAGGAAGGCTTCATATGCATTCATTGCAATCGAGACTGTCACGCTCAGGTGGCCTTTTACAGTCATAGTAGATGCTGCACCGCCATCTTCAGATCTATGGTCTCTCGAGACCGATAAACGCCACACATTATAACTGTTGAGTTAATGGTTGCACATATCTTAAATATGTAGAAATCCTGTGCTTCGCAGGTAAAAATATAATTACTAATATTTTTTAATAGATCGTGTTTTCATTCAAGCTAACATCATTTCATGACCCTCTGTTAGAATACGCGTTTTCTCCAGTCACGATGAACGGTTCGGCAGTAACCCCTTCCGTCTTCATGGAATTATCACCTTTCTAGGGGCGAAATGATTAATAAAAAAATAACACCTATTATGTCTCAAGTTATAACAGACCTGAAGTGTGATTCAGATAGATATACGATCCATTACTGGAAAGATGCTGGTAAAATGGCCGGCACATTCTATCGCTCTCGAATGTACCTGATTCATTCTGCTATTTCTATCTTCACGAGAATCAGGTCATGCTAAAAATGAAATACTAGTACTTTATCCAACGTGGAAAGTGCCCAGTTCCTGCTTTATAGTTCTGATAGAGTTCAAGATGTTGAGTGAAAACATATTCCACGGAACAGAATCACAATAAATTCATCTGTATTCTAAATGTAATAAGAGAGTTCTAATCAGAATGCTGTTTCTCAAGTACTGTTACTTTGTAGAGCAGATTCCCACGCGGATGCTTTCCAAAATACTATAATCTTAACCACTTCAAGGGTCAGATGATTATCATCCTTACCCTTCGAACACTTTCTCTTCCATTTATATCACTCATTTCATTCTGTCTAACCATGGTGACTGTAAAACTCTGTCTTGAGTGGATATCGGGCCTTGTGTTAGATAAAGCTAATACACAAAAAGCGTATCGATTTGTCTTCCGCGAAAGACATTATACCAAGCTTTTACTACTCTCCTATTACTTTTAAGTTTTTAGTAACGTTAAGATTCATCAATTTTTCATCAGATTTCAGGTTCTTTCCAAGTTTTTCTAATATTTCACGATACATTTGCGAACACTAAAAATTATGTTCTTTTACTAAATTTCCAACAATGCATGGCTCGTGAGCTACTCAAGATAGAATTCTACTGAATGTAAAAAGATATGGTTGATAATGAGAATGAATAAATTTTGAGCCATAATTTGAAGAGGCTAATATTGAAGTTTTAAAAGTATCCATGAGAGAGTCTCTTGCACGAAAATCAGTTCAAAAAAAATGTTAACCTTACAATTGGAATGAGGAAGAAGTGGAAGTGATCTGAATCGCGGAAGGTAGTATACCTGTGTCCTATTTGAAAACGACTGGAATGGTCTGATCTGAATGGAAATAGCGATAGGTTTGTGATGTTTTGATTGTTCATAAAAGAGCGCAGACTGGAAAATAAGTAACATCCCACACAACCGCGAAAATGATTAAAAAAAAATCTTTCAAAGCCCCAGAACCAGTAAACCTAACCGAAATATTTAATTTTGGTCTAATCTAACTCTTCTAAGTATAAAGAATGGCAGAATCATTCCGATACTTTCTGTGTAGATACAATGATTCAATCAATCTTCATAATTTTTCGCAAGGAATCGTATATGTATTACACTAGAGGTCGTGAGTGCTTTTGTGCCCCAATAGATGTTTAAATCCCGTTCCATTGCTGGAAATCGGCTGTTAAAATGGTCGGCTGATTGAGAGATTTTTTTTTTATTATTTTCATAATGTTGAGGGGTCCACCCCTTTTCACACAAATGAACTCACCCAGTATATACATATACTACTGCGAGAGCAAGACCGAGGAGTCGAGTCGAGTGCAGAGTGACAGAGTAAAAGGTTGTAGGTAACCGGAAGAGTGAGGGTGAGGTAACAGCGTTGTAGGAGTCACAGTGAGCGAGCACGTAGACTCAGTAAGAAGTCATACAGCGATACCTCAATACCAAAGACTGTATAGATCTTTTGCTACTGACCCGTATTACTGGGACTACTAACCTGCTTTATCAGTTTATATTATTACCTTAATACATTACTTTTCTATATTCATTCCTGGCGTTTTTTTATTTATTGGTACCGGATTTCAACCCGGAATCCACAACACATAACTACCCCATCTTTCAGTGTGGAAAAAAAAATAGTTTTGACAACAGGGCATGATGATCGCCCACTCCTCCCACTCATTAAATAGAGGTTGATACGCTGCTAAACAAAATCAACGAACATAAAAGAACTCATTCATGACATTAATCTATATAATATCCTGCAATTTCTTAAATCAAACTGTATTCCAAAATATAACTTCAACAAACTACAGCATAAAACACACATATCACCGCCTCTAGTAATCATGTCAACACAAACATCTATATGCACAAAAGCTGAGTATCATCTACTATGGATTATATTGCGAAAGCAGAATGGCATATTTTTATTATTTAAAACTCCCATGACAATTAAATTTTAGAATGAAATGACCCATAAGGAGTGGATATGCCATTAATCACACAAAACACTTATTTCTTTAAGTGATCAATTCGCAGAGGTTTTTATATACACCTGATGATGACCAAAGTGCAGATGGACCGACATTTTGTGATAGCAATAACAAAAATGAGGACAATATTCTGAATGTAAGCAGTGTAAATAAATAATGTTTCCCCCTAGGTTCTTCCGAGTTTGACTTAGTGTGTCGACATTTAAAACCAAATTGATTTACACTATTTATATTGTTCGAACTGTTGTCCTCATCTTTGTTGTCATATCCACGACGTTTCAGTCGTTGTGCGCCCCGGCTTACTTCAGGTGTTTGGAATTTCAAACCGAACCCTTTATTTCATCCACCGGGGTGGATTGTTCTAATTCCACATGCCATGCCTCTTCCTGATGTCTCATTTTCAGTTATTTCCCTTTAGTAACACAACTCTCAAAATTTTTGTCCACCTCTGCTGTAGTCAGGTATTGAACTCACAACGCTTTGGGTCAAATCACTGGTTTACTTCAACCAACGCTTTTATTCACTGGTCAATGTGTCTTTAAGAAAATGTTGTGGATATGACAACAAAGATGAGAACAACGGTCCATACGATGAAAATAGAGTAAATAGCTACAATACCTCATCTCAGACATGTAGACAGATATCCAAATTAATTGTAGTTATTTTTTGTCCTTTAAAATAATGCTGGTTTAAGTACAAATTCTTTTGTAATTAATCGCTTCATCAATAGGATAAGTTATTGCTAGTGTAATATTATTGCTGTCCTTAATGGGGCCATCGTAATTGTATCTGCCTGTTAAGTCGAGTTAATAAGTACTATTTCCGGGAAGTTTTAGTTTTAATACTAGTAGTTAAGTACTTGTAGTTTCAAGCAGCTGTTATGGCCGGTGTATTAGCTGTACTCGTCTAATTTAAAGAAGGAAAAAAACTCTTATCTGTCGATATTCCATTATCTTTGGCATTACTTAAACTTGATCGTAGCCCTCATTATAACCACACGAACATTTCCAGACTGAGAAAAAGTAGCTTTTAATGGGCCACCTATAGTGCAGAGATCTACGCCTCGCAAACGCGGGTGGCGCTTCCCCCACTCTCAAAAGACTTCGAAGGAAATAATTGAATCCGACCGCATTAGCACAGACATAACTGATTGTTGTTTAATCATCGTTGCTGCCATGTAATTTTCCACGAGCATACTTAAGTGAAAATAGTTTAAATACTTTAATTAATGTGGTTAAATGTTGACTTCACATGAATAGGACATTGTTTTTGTTTTGTTTTTTTTCTCAGGCTTTTCCTGATCATCTGAGAAATACACAAAACTCACACTACGCTACAAAAATCGGCTTCCTTCTATATTTATTGTTTTAAACACGTTCACATAAACGTATAGATACTCTCTCCCTCTGTCTGTCTGTCTGTCTGTCTGACTGTCTGTCTGTCTGACTGTCTGTCTGTCTGTCTCTCTCTCTCTCTCTCTATCTCTCTATATATATATATATATATATATATATATATATATATATATATATATATATATATATATATATATTAATCAAGTGCGGCTCAAATACGCAAATAAGACAGTATTGTATGTAAGGAAAATACGTTGGGGTTCCTTACTGTTTTGTCTTTTCATTCATTCTCACCCGAAGAAGCCAGAGAGAGCAGATAGTCTCAGTGAATCGCGTCGTTTATAGATTTTAACATTTTGTCTCATTATCTTCACTTTTGTTTCGGATACTGTTAGACATCCTACACACATTATACATACATGCATACATGCATCCATACATACATGCATATATATATATATATATATATATATATATATATATATATATAAAGATTTGTAATAGCAACTCTGATTGAAAAATTAGAGAATGGAGTTCGAATTCCAGTCGAGTTCATTACATTAAATACCTGCACGGAAGTTATGAAACCATCACTTCTACACCCAGCCATGGGTTAAATAACAGGCAAACTGATTACTGTAGCTGTGATTGGCTACAAATGTATGAGGAGAACTCTGATTTAAAAAAAAAACAATTAAGTTATCTTAAGCAACATATCTGTTGGGTTTCCACCGAAGTTTTTAACCAAAAACAACTCATTGAGTTGTGCACGGAACACTGCTGAGCTGACCTACTGGTC